TTATATTGGATTTTTGTAAAGTATATAAATATAAAGTGTTTGTAAAGAATTGTTAACCCGTTTTGTTAAACACACGAAAGAATTTGTTATTAAATATACTGTGAATGTGATTTCCAAATGAGATATTCATATATTTGTAATCCTTATATGATTGTAATATCAATTGTTATAACAAATATACTTCTAGTCATAAAATTCTATGACATATACCGTACCATTGAATCCAATGCCTAACGAATTGCATAATATTCTGCACAGAATATTCTGTGAATGTACTTATACTGTCAAACTGTTTTCCACACCAGAATTGATTGATTGTATTCAATGTTATTAATAAAAATGCAATAATTTTTAAAATTTGTTTAAAATTAATTATGAATTAAATACTTTTTATAATATATTAATCGTAAAACTGGTTAAAACTAACCATTTATGGCATAATTGTCAATGTATTGCATCACATCATATGTAAAGCATGTCTCGGATTATGACTTCATTAGAGTTTTAGCCGTAATTTGTGTCCAAAAGTGAGCTTTAATTTTGAAATGTTTTGTAAACACAAAACAAAACATTATTTTAATTGTCTTTAAATTGTCATCATTTTGGTGATAATCCAGTGGTAAGTGGTGTAGACACGAGAACAGGAAGAATATGGGCCGACGATCGATAAATACCACCAAAAGTGGTAAATACATGAATCCGACGGATCAGCACAGGAAAGAGGCCCGAAAGCGGGAACTCCGGAAGGTTTGTGACCACCGATGATGACCATCACTCACACCATCCTTACCACTGATTGTCTTGCATTGAATTCTGCAGAACAAGAAGCAGCGACTGATCGTCCGGACGGCGGTTCTTAAGGGCAAAGATCCGTATCAGATAATCGCAGACATGGAACGACTGGATCAGATGGAGTACAACGTATCCACTCCTCCGCCGCTCAACGAGAAGGTCCTCAAAGACAAGAGACGGAAGATGAAGGAGACGTGGGATCGGCTCTTAAGGCTATACGTATGTGCCGTAAGCTACCGGCGCTCACATCCATAACTGTTTGCTGTATGTGTTGACAGAACAAAGAGGATCACCAGAGGTTTCTGGAGCTGAAGCGCATGGAAGTGGAGTACGAGTCCAAACGCAACCAAATGATCAAATTCTTTGAATCAGTCAAATCGGCTCAAGAGGTGACCATCGATGACATACCGTTGCCATCGGCAGCGCCAACGGATCCTAATATGCCGACCGCCGGCTCATCGATGCCATCCTTTCTCAGCGATCACTCCATTCCTCAGTCAATACTAAAGCGACAAACCGTGTCCTCCAAGACAATAGGCCCGCATAGAGCACCCCCTGGAGTACCTCCCGGTCCACCGCCTGTGTTGAGTGACTTAGAAGACGATTTGGACGACGAAGAGGACAGCGAAGGCGATGAGAAAGATAAGAGCAAACGGATCCGTTTCAGTGAAGACTTACAAACGGGTGAAAAGGACGCCGACGTCAATGAGTTTCTCAAAGAGTTGGAACAAATGGAGAAAACAGTTCCCAACAGTGATCATAATGTGTCGCAAACTATACAATCCATACAATCATTACCGGCTGCCATCGCATCCCAGCCCACGCCCACCGCCGCTGCCTCAGCGCCACCCTCTCTGAACGCAGTGCCACCGCCGCCATCGTTGCAGACAAACCTGAGGCCATCTGGTCCGCCGCCACCGATGATGATGTTTAGGCCACCGGTGCCGCCATCGGGTTTACGACCCGGATCTCAGCCTCAGAATATTCCCGGACTAATGGTAGGCCGACCGCCAATATCGGGACCCCCGCCTATGTCTGGTCCACCGCCACCCATGGGTCCAATGAGGCCGGGAGTGCCACCGCACCACCGTATGATCAACGCTCGACCAATGATGCAACCAATGAGACCAATGGGTCCGGGATTCCCGTCCACAGCCGGCCCTCCAATGGGCGGCAAACGGGACGATAAGAAGACACACGTGGTGTCGGACAGGGCCACCATCGAGGCTAAGCCGCAGCTCAGGAATCTGAGCGCCGACGCCACCCGTTTCACACCCGTAGCCCTTCGGGTGAAACGCGATGATAAGGGCGTCAAGAGATCGGTTCATAAATCAGGTATTTGTCGGCGTTTTGTGCCTGATTTTGTGCATTGAATGGTATTTTTGAGACATTTTTTCATTTGGTTTTGCGATAGGTTTTGATGACATGAAGAGGTACTCGAGTGTCGGCGACAGCGCCGGCGGTCTGAACGCACCGACAAAAGGCGACGCTTACGACCAGTTCATGAAAGAGATGGAGAATCTGTTGTAAAATAATGTGACATTCAATTAGTATTTATTAAATAAATTCAAACAAAAGTTTTCTACAAAATGTAACAAAACTTTTTGTCACACAAATCATTTGCGTTGACATTATATGGCAATAGAGGGCACTCCACACACCATATGTTTACGCCATACAGACTCGTGTTTCGGCTTTTCCTATGCTTTGCAATGCTTTGCATTTTTCAATGCATTGTATTGACAGAAATGTTGACTTACTATTACGACACGCTGTATCTCATATAGGTTGACGCCAATGGCGTTTAGTACAGAATGTGTTGTATAGTATTGTATATAGT